TTAAAGCTTTAATTGTGTTATCAGCATGCTCATGTTTTTATTATTATTATTTTTTTATAAACAGACATGACAGTGAAAATGATCAGCCACCTGTTCCAAAGAGAGCAAAGGCAAACAAACAGGCAAGGTGCAGGCAGTCCACCATGTCATGGAAACCACAGACTGATGATGACACGGTTCCAAAGACTCTGTGATTCCTACCTGCACGGGAACCTGGACCACAGCTGAGCTCTGCTGACTCACATTCGCCAATGAGTCTATTCAAACTGTTTTTTTCAGAGAGTGCTGTGTCAACTCTGTGCCAGAACACCAATGCTCAGGCTGCTAAGGCAATTGCAAAGGGACGCAAATATAAATGGACATGGTAAAGTTGCCCTCCATCAGGCACTACTGGCGACAGAGCAGTATTTTCACAGTACCTTTTCCAGCTACAGTTATGCCAAGAGATAGATACCGGACACTTTCATGGAATGTGCACATGAGTCACCCAGATGCAGACAAAGAGAATGACAGAAAGAGGGGCACTTCTGAACATGATCGTCTGTTCAGGGTTAAACCTCTTATGGACACTATCCGTCATGCTTGCAAAGCTATTTATCATCCAAAAAGAAATTTAGCTGTGGATGAGAGAATGGTGGCATGCAAAGCAAACACAGGAATGACACAGTACATGAAAGCCAAGCCAACTAAGTGGGGGTCATGCACGCACACACTGTCACGATCTAATGTCGGATCCTTAAAAACAATTACCGGAACGCAAAAATCAAAAATTTGACAATTTCCGGAATCCGGCCGGATCCGGCTCAAATTAAGCACTGGTTAGAGTTTTTTTTGTGTTTGTTTTTTGTTGTTGTTGTTGTTTATTGTATAATCAATAAAAATAAAACAGATAGAAAAGATAGACGATATAAAAAGAATAAAGAAGCTAGTGAGTTTTTTTATTTTAAATTTTTTTGTAGAATTAGAATAGAGAGTGCTAGCATTAGAGGGTCAAATAAAAATAGAAGAGATGTGTTTTTAGCCGATTCTTGAAGATGGTTAAGGACTCAGCTGCTTGGATTGAGTTGGGCAGGTCATTCCACCAGGAGGGAACATTTAATTTAAAAGTCCATGAAAGTGACTTTTTGCCTCTTTGGGATGAACAATAATACGCCGTTCACTTGCAGAACGCAAGCTTCTAGAGGGCACATAACTCTGAAGTAATGAATTAAGGTGAAGGGGTGCAGAGCCAGTGGTGGTTTTGTAGGCAAACATCAATGCCTTGAATTTTATGCAAGCAGATATTGGTAGCCAGTGCAAATTAATAAACAGAGGTGTGACGTGCGTTATTTTTGGCTCATTAAAAATTAATCTTGCTGCCACGTTCTGGATTAATCGTAAAGGTTTGATAGAACTGGCTGGAAGACCTGCCAAGAGAGCATTGCAGTAGTCCAGCCTGGACAGAACAAGATCTTGAACAAGGAGTTGTGAAGCATGTGCCGAAAGAAAGGGTTGATCTTCTTGATGTTCAATAAAACAAATCTGCAGGACTGGACAGTTTTAGCAATGTGGTCTGAGCAAGTCAGCTGATCATCAATCACAACTCCAAGGTTTCTGGCTGTTTTTGAAGGAGATATGGTTAATCCTAGCCAATACCTGAACTTAACAACTACTAACTATTAATAAGAAGCAAATTAGGAGTTTATTGAGGCAAAAGCCCTTGAAATAAAGTGTGACTGTTAATTTAATTAGATACCACATATTGTGTAAAATGTAAAGTGTGGCACAGTCTATTGGTGCAGAGATGGGTATGTGCATTTTGCAATTTCTTTTTATCACAAAATTAGAATGACCACAGTTAAATCGTCACACAAAGAGAATATTGAACGGACATTTTAGTTTAAAATGCAAAGTATTGCATGTACAAAATGTGTAAATAAAGCAATGTAAAAATTGTACTTACATATTTAAAGCACTGCGCTAAACACACTTATGGTTATCACGCACACTTGAACACTCCAGCCAAATACGGGGAATGTATCGTGTAAGTTGACCAGTTGACAAGTGTGGGTACTGGGGGAGGGAGTGAGAGATTTTATCAGTCAGCATCACGTATTGTAAATGATGTTTTTTAACAAGTAACATTTACGTAATTCCTATCACATGTCCTGGGCAGTTCCAGGCAAAAACATTCAGGGCTAGACTAAAATCGTTCAGGGCTCAAATGACACCAAGTGAAGTGTTGTAGACAATATGACTCCATAACATGCTGTTTCACTTTAACATGACTTTGACATGTGCAGCATCTGTCAAACATGCCTCATCTTTAGTCTGGTAGCTCTCCGGGCCATCATTCATCTTTGCAGAGTGTGTGTGTGTGTGTGTGTGTATATACTGTAAAATCCAATAGTTTACCTTACTTAGATATAATTAGTTATCTTTACTTAGTTGTTATACTTACTCGGTTTTATTAAGTAACAGCTAATTTTAAGGCGAATAAAACAACTTACTTGCTGCAACGAGTAACTCTTACTTAAAATATTCAAGTAGCCGCAACAATACCGATGACATTAATACACCAGGGGGAGGCAGCAGTGCGCTAATGTGTTGCTAATGTGCAACAAAACAACAGAAGAAGAGTTGGTGCTACCAGCCATAAAACTGAAGAAGAAGAAGAAGAAGAAATACGGAAAGTTAGAGAGCAAGCGCAACAAGCAACGGGTTTTTGAATTTGTGCGCCGAATTTGCTGAGACTGCTTGCATTTTTACCACTGGACAAAGACTGATTACTTCTGTACAACAATAATAAGGTAAGATTCAAAAAATAATTGTGTCAATGTATGTTTCTGTGTGCTGCTAATTTTAACTGACTAATATGAAGGTAGAATGCCGTCAATAATATTTGCATACGCAGGGTAATATTTGTGGAAGTGTACATAAGACTGCAAGCGTACATTACATTTGTATGCGCAAGAGAAGCTTTGTAAAGGTGTAAATCGCGTTTCAAGCGTAAGAAAAAATGATTTGCAGCATTTTACTGTTACTCGTAAGTGTAACTCATGTATTGTGAAACTGCAGCTTCATGCTAACGCAAAATAAATATGATCTGCATGCTTCTGACTTCCATTTTTCCCACGCTTACACTTTTGGCACGTTTTTTTTTTCGCCAAAAGACGGTCAAAAGCACTGCGAGCCTGTGAACTGTGATTTGCACGCGAAAACAACAGTTTAAAGAAGCTTTATTGGCATAGTAAAAAGGTTTTACAAAGTATAGCACTCTGATACCATAGAGTTGAGCATTGTCACATAACATCATTTTGATTATAAAGTTTAACATCAGTGGTGTAAGTAGATTATGACATTTCAATGTAAAGCCAAACCAAATAATGTTAACACCAGCTCGCAATTCTGTATGAACACATGGGAGTCTAGCCTAATGGTACACAGCTTATGAAAGGAGCATGTTTTAATTACGTTGCTGTTTTTTTTTAATTAATTTTTTTCTGTATGTATACACTAAAAGTACCATTCCGGCAGCGAGAACGATCCTGAACTAAATGAAGATTAACGTTTTGGCGTATGATGTGTTTATTGAACCAATCGGATAAGAGTAAATGGAGAGTCAGCGAGAGCCTCATGTGATTGGCTGAACGGAACATCCTCCAAAAAAAGATATTTATGAATCTTAACCTGCCAGGAAGGTCTCAAAAATACCACACACAAATTCAAAGCAGTCCACGCACATGTGACGATTTGCAAATGCAAATTCAACTATCCATAAATACATGTAACATCATTCATAAATGTGTGATGGAAATTAATTCAAGAACTTGATATATACATATTTGTGTAAACATTTTAAATTTATTTAGGTAAGATGCATTTGTGTGAGCATTTGGGGAAATATTTATGCTTTTACTTGTGTATTTATGAATTGTGTTTTGAATTTACGAATTGGATTTTGTAAATGTAAATTGTGCTGTGCATTTATGAATTTTGTTTTGCAAATGTGTTATTTTCACATTATGTACTTATTTAAGTACATTTACTGACCAGTTGCAATATGTCTCCATGGTGAAAAAAACGTGCCAAAAGTGTAAGCGTGGGAAAAATGGAAGTCAGAAGCATGCAGATCATATTTATTTTGCGTTAGCATGAAGCTGCAGTTTCACAATACATGAATTACACTTACGAATAACAGTCAAATGCTGCAAATAATTTTTTCTTACGCTTGAAACGCGATTTACACTTTTACAACGCTTCTCTTGCGCATACAAATGTAATGTACGCTTACAGTCTTATGTACACTTCCACAAATATTACCCTGCGTATGCAAATATTATTGACGGCATTCTACCTTCATAGACTAACCTTGTCAGCGGTGTTAGCTAACAGATACCAAAGGTCTTTGCTGTTCTGCTGTTAGAAAAAAGACCGTAGAAATACAGAACTTGTGGCGTATTTTGGCGACTTTTTTTACTTTTCAAACTGAAACATTTGTAACCGTTAGCTAGTTAAAAAATGAAAAGTCAGAGGTACAATTCAAGAACATGCCAAAAGTCCTCAAGATGAGCTCACAGTAGGTTTTAAAGTCGATCTTTATGTGCCACTGATAATTAATTGTTTACTGTAATCTTTTGCAGTGTACACTATAATTTTATAACACTGAGGCTTTGGTCACTTAAGTTATTTTTAAGCTTACAATTGTATTGTCAATATTTTTAATACATCACAATCATAGTCATCACGTGATCACACATTTAAGGTTTAAACTGAATGAGCTCTTTGTCTTGCAGTAATTATTGCTGTAGCGTGTTGAAATACCTACTACTGTAATACAGAGGAAATGCTGCTTTTCAATTGTTTTTTTGACCTCAAGTAGATATGTATAGAAAATGTTCGTTCTTTCTTGTAAAGTATGCAAATATCAAGGAATGAATGTGTCTGTAATCTGCAATTCACAACAATAGTGGAACTTGCCTTTAACTGAAGAATTATTTGTCATTATAAGTGCTTGTGGCATCTGTCTTCTCTGAACAGCACTCTCGTGAACACCGGCCTCAGTAGAGCAGTTTTTGACTCAGTCATGTGCTACACTTTATTTACAATTTCAAATAATTTCTTGCAGATGAAGTATACATGTAGCCACTGTATTTCTTTTATTTTTTTCACAGATCTCGGAAAACACTTCACACCCGACAACCCCTAAAAATGTATGTTGCTACCTTAAATGTTTTCAATATTTTTTATTATATTTAATAATAATATTTAAAATAAACCATGTCATTGACTTCTTTATTGACACTTTGACAAACATATTTGTACTGTAATTTTTTAATGTCTTAAACTTGTTTTTCTTTTTTTACTTCTAGAACCCAGATTTGACAGCAGTGCACACCCACCTGTTTTACTTCATGATCACCCCAGATACTTCTACAACTAACCCGCTTTGTAAGTTCTCATAGCTACACCTTAAAGAAGCACATCATTTTGGGAAAATTTCCTGTGTATTTGCTGGTAAATTACTGAGATACTTTTATAAAGATTAATGTTGAACACAAAATACCTAGTTGAACAAAAAAATGAAAATTATGCCACTTAATCTCCCTCCTGTCATTCCATCCCATAAAAAAGTGTGCATCTTCAAGACATGAATGAAGATATTAACCCCAAAACTCTGACACCCAAGAAACCATAAGATAAATCCGTATGAATGGAGCCATGTAATCTACTTTTGGGCCAAACTGTTCAATGAATGTAAGGAGCAGTTTCAGTTATATTTCCACTTGAACTTGGTTAGGCATAGTGTGATCACAAACCGTTCTTGATCTGGAATTATTAGCCGAACACACTGAACCGTGCTGTAGAATGCCTGGAGTGACGTCGCTGCTCAGGATTGTCATTTGTCTTTTGTAGGGATGTAACGATTAACCGCGAGCCGGTTGAAAATCGATTCAAATATGTGACGATTCAAATCGGTTGAGATGCCAAACAAATCGCGATTCATTTAGAGGTAAGAGTTTATATGAATGTATGTCTGAGGGGAATTTACTGTCTTTAGAAAAGTGTAGATGGTATTTTTTTCTTTTCATCTTGCCTCTGTATAATGCATATTAAAGTTCATAAGTGCAGCGCTGCTTTGTTTACAGCGTAAACTAAGGAAACGCTTTAAGCGCCACCTTCTGGCAGAGAGTGAATCTGCGTCTCATTCAGCTCGTCTGCTGTTTCTGTTTCATGCAGATATTTTTTTTTTATGTATAGTTTCACAAAACTGAAGTCAAATCCTTTTGTTTTTGCTTCAAATTTCGAAATTATGCAATCTAATTTAGATTAAAAACTGCTCATGTTGCATGTATGCAGCATCTTTGTTTGGATCATGATTAAAAGGCAGTGGTTGCCTCTAATTTTAAATGGAAAGAGCACAGACAAAGCCTTATTTTGTTTATATGAAGAGATTTCTTTTATTTGTGTTACTTATTTATTTGATTTTTTTTTTTTATTTCAATTTAGTTTTGTTATTTACATTTACATTATATTTAAATTTTGTTATTTAGCAAACGCTTTTATCCAAAGCGACTTACAAATGAGGACAATAGAAGCAATCAAAACCAACAAAAGAGCAATAATATACAAGTGCTATATTAGTATATTATTATTATAGTGTTATATTTCACAAAGAAACGTGCAGCATTTTGTCCAAGCAATAATAAAAGGACACATTCAATTTATAATTTATAATATAATTATCTCATTTTGTAAAAAATAAATGAATCGAATCGTGAGTTGAGTGAATTGTTACATCCCTAGTCTTTTGCTTAGCCAACAGTTTCTCTGTAGCTGGCCAAGCCTGCTATTTGAATGAAGTTAACAAGTTAATAGTAAAATTAAAAGAAATATTTAATCTTTCATAACGTGTGCTATTTACATCTAGTACCGTATTCTAACTCTTGCATTACTAAGGCAATGACTGACACATTTATGTTGCATTCCAAAGAGCTCTGTTAACAGCCCTACAGTGAAAAATTAAACCATATCCGTATCGGCTTGGGCCGGGTCAGCACAAAATGGAATGGTTAAGCAACAAAAATGGTTTGGCCTGACGGTGGAAAAGCGGCTCAAATCTTTGGAAGAGACATAATTGCTATATGATCAACTGTCTAATGTTTTGGGTAAATAGTCAGAAATATCTGTCGGATTTCACTGAAAATGTCTTTATTTGTGTTCCAAAAATAAACAAAAGTCATGCTTGAGTAAATGATCACATAAATTTCAAGTTTGGATGAACTAACCCAGTGGCATGGCAGTGTAGGCAGGACAGATAACACTGACAACTTATCATCCATATTTCCCTACTAATAATGTTTTTATTTGGTTTTCTACAGGTGTCTGATGTTGATGCAGTCTGGGCACTAGTATCTGTTGGGTTGCTGACTATCATTGAAGATGAAGTACTTCTCCAAATCTTCTCTGCCTTGACCCTGTGTCTTTTGCCATCATTGTTCAGGGTAGTACTGCAAAGAACAGTCTCCAGGGTCTACCTCAGCCATTTGCTTCCGGACTGCCATGCACTATGTTTGGATCACTGGTACAGTACATTTGGATTACCCTAATACTGTGAAGAACACTTACAGTGTGATGCTTGACTTGGGACGGGACAGGGGAAAAAAAACAAACATTGGCAACATGTGCGGCCAACCCAGTGCCATACTTACTCATTGTACTGCTACCTCCACTGTTTAAAAGAAGCATACCCTAAATCAGATTGTTTTTGCTTTGTTTCAAAATGTTTGTAATACAAGTTAAAACTGCACTGAAAAACCAAAAAAAAAAGTACATTACCTTTAACTTTGAACTTTCACTACCTCAAATTTATGTGTAATTGTATGTGTGTGATGAATGGAACATTGTTGTCAGTAATTTATTATGGATGTTTGAAGCACTTAACTTAGTGGAGTAACGCTTACTTGGTTTTTTTAAGGCAGTTTTTTTGCATGCTTTTAGCCAGTAAATCAGATTGCTGTTTACGTAAATACAACTTAGAAATTCCAAGCTGCAGGAAATGTTACATGAGTTGGCTCAACTTAAATAAAAGAGTTGTTTGAAATACGCACATAGTATATTGTACTTATTCATTTAGTTGTTGAAAATAGTGATTCTGAGTTATCAGAACTTGTAAGTTTACAACACCTTTTCTTATTACAAATTATTATTCTTATTTCACTTGGTTTTTTCAAGGCAATCGGTTTGCATGCTTTTTTTAAGTAAGGTTTACTATTTGGAATGTACAGTGTGTGTATATAATAGCATAATCTTGCAGGTTTGCACTACATAACCAAACAAAAATCAGACCCTCATTATAGAGCATGCAACACATTTCTAGGCTAGATTGTTGCAATGCTCTTCTGGCTAGACTTCCATCATGTGCAATCAGACCTCGGTAAATGATTCAGAATGCAGCAGCACGGCTTGTTTTCAATGAGCCCAAGAGAGCCCGTGTCACACCCCTTCTCATCTCTCTGCACTTGCTACCAGCCTGTGGTTGGTAAACAAGCGGTGGCTTGTGGTCCCAAGGCAGAGAGGCTCAAAATCTCTCTCACGTTTCCTTTCAGCGTTTCTCGCTGGTGGAATGACTATACCTAAGGCCATCCGGACAGCCAAATCCCTCAAAATTTTCAAGAAACGATTGAAAACTCGTCTCCTCTGTGAGTATCTAACGGCGTCCTCCTAAAAAAAAAAAAAAAAAACATTATTCCTTATTCCCTTCCTGTCCTAGCTTTTATTATTTTGAATGATGACGGAAACCTTGTATAACTGGCACTTATCATGTTTATTGCCATCATGATGAATCACTTTTTGTATTACTCATCTGTAAGTCGCTTTGGATAAAAGTGTCTGCTAAACGGAGGCGGACAGTGACTAGTATTGTGCTTAAGTACATTTTTTGAGTATCTGTACTTTACTTGAGTATTATTTTTTTCTGGGAACTTATGACTTTAACGTCACTACATTTGAAAGACAAATATTGTACTTTTCGCTCCTCTACATTTCTATCAAGGTCCTCAAAGTAGAAAGTCGTTATTATTTAGCAG